TTTGAACGAGCGGTTTCCTTTGGTGCAATGTTAAAAATTTTTTTTTCGCTAAATCCCGCAATGGTAATCGCTATAATATCGTAATATAGATCATGGACCAATATAGACCATTAGTCGTGAGCCGATGACGATTTTTGTTTCCCTCATACCTTTTAACACAGCTTGATCAATTGACTGTTTGGTAGTCACTAGATGGAGATTAATCTCATGATAACAAATGTTATAATTAAAAAATATTCGTTAAGGAAGCATGATAAAAGAATCTTCTCAATGCCTGCAGGCCGGTCTTTTGAACAAAATATGCTGCGTACACATTGAAGGTTGATGACAGTGCAGTGCCGATACACATCGCTGAAAATTAAACGTTCATTTAAAATTAAGGTTACAGAAAATTGAAACTGAGGCGAACTTTCATTTAAAATGTAGAGCGAAAGGTTCATTTTCGGTTTCTTGGACGATTTATTAGCACTTAATCTCATCTCACTTTAGAAGGAAGAGATGAACAGTTTATGGTAAAAGGAAAAGTTGAACGGTTTATAGCAAAAGCCGAATGATGGTCGAAACAGAAATTTGCACAGAGAAATGAAAAGGCTGTGAGAAATTAATGCGAACTATAAAATCCAGTTTCCAACAGGATCACCGGTCTTATTAAACCAAAAACATAGGTCTTATACGATTCACACCCAATTATATAAGTCATCAGGTAGGTACCCATAAGCATCTGCAATTAGAATTGAGCAAGTGTAACCTAAAATATCAAAACAGAGAGAAAAATCAATTCAAGGTGTGATATTTAGAATCACATGAACGGACTATATCGGAAGCGTTAAAGTTTAGCACTGAACTGCCCATGACAAACACTTGTGATGCACAAGGGTGATTCAAAAAATTATGCTCATGAAGAAGGCGTAGCACCGACACGTTGAACATCACTGTAACATTTCTGATTGCGCATGCAATATTTTGTCAACAACATAACCTCACTGTTTGGATTCACCTATTATCACAATGCGCTTTATGAATGAGAAGAGCTTACAGCAACCGTTAAATCTGTGAAAATCAGAATGCTATAGCAGTTTATCAGATCGACAATTTTCAATTTAAACTATAAATGCACTCCTCATTTTCAGTAGCATTATCAAATAATTTTGATGCTATCATCATGTCATATTTTAACGCGATTGCTGAGAACGCTTTCAAATGTTCAGCTAGCATAACTGGTGCACATCGTAGACAGTAATGATTAAAAAATGTCAATTTTGGGAAGTGTTTTACAAGAGCACGTGAATTAATAGTTCACCGATGACATTTTTAAATCGTTTTATCAATAACTTACCCAGTTTCCGATATTATATCCCCATGGAGAGCGCATCACACCAGTATTATATTGCTCCCAGTGAATAGCATGAACATAAATTTGAACACTCAGTAACACGTACATTACCCTCACAAAAGGCGTGCTATAATTCGAGCTGCTACTGCTGTTATTACGGAGACTGTTTATGACGGTAGTAATAGCACAAAAATAATAATAGTAACAATAGTGCAATTATTAATAACAGTAATATTGATACTAACAATACTACTACTACTACTACTAATAATAATAATAATAATAATAATGATAATAATAATAATAATAACCTGAATTCGCCACGACCCACGCTCGAGAACAATGTTATAGCCAAGGGCACTGTGATGCAAGTATCAATACCATGATCAACTTAAATTACATTTAAATAATTGCATTTGATTACTTTATGATTCAGTTGCTATTTAAATCTCTTATTCGATCCCCCCTCCCCCATCTTGTTCCCACGCTCTCTCATCCTCTTTCTGTCGACAGCCCTGGATAGCATTTGGAAGCGTCTCCTGTTCGAAACTCAAAGCGAACTTACAAAATTCTCCAGTTGCACCTGAGGTTCCGGTTCGTCGTGCTTGCTTTCCATCCATTCCATCGAGCGCATAATTGGCAAAAAACGTGATCGCCAGAAAGAGCCAAACCCAGTTGGGTATCGCCGCTTCAACATGGTAATTTAACA